GTGAGGACTAAGGAGTGGTACTTGTGGAGAGCTTACAGGAATGACTGGCATATGGTAAGTCCCAGCAAACTAGCTCTTACTGTTAATATTATTCTGTTTAAAGATGGTGCTTGGTGCACATATGCTTGTGAGGAACCCCAGGCCCATGGTGGTGCTCCCCAGCCCTGCTGCCTTGCTGCTGGATCTTGCCACTGGGGCATCATTGACTGTGCATGCCCAAGACTGGTCACTGTCACAGGGCTGCAGCATGACTCTGCCAATCATCTTCATAGGGGCAGGCTGGCGTTGGCAGCATATTCAGATTTATACCTGGAACCTGGACGTTAGATGCAGGTGTTGTCACTTGCAAAAGGTGATGTTTACAACAAAATTAAGTTACACTGGAATTTCAGGAGCTGTGATTGAAGAGCCGAAGAGGCGTTCTAGAACCTGGGAGGCTCTCATCTCGGAGGGCACGGTGCCATCATCACTCACCAGAGCCTGGCTTCGCGAGCATGGAGGAAGCCCAGAAGCAGTGCTGAAGGAGGGCCCCGGGCACGCCACAGCTCTGGGCCTTCATTTTCCACAAGCCTGGGCCCTTGGGCACGTCTGACCAGAGATACAGTGTCTTGGCCAGAGGACAATGTCTTAGGAAAGGAAACTCCTCCCCCAGGGAAGAAACTGCCCCTGGCTGGGCCAGGTTGGGGGACAGTGTGGGAGTTTCTGGAGCCTGAGTCCTGGCAGAGCGCCAGGCGCCCGGCGTGTCTCCAGAGAGGAAATGGCAGCCCTGCATGTTTCTGTCCCGCCACACGCCTAGACCATGTCAGAGAGCTGCTGGGCAGGAGGGGCCTCCCAGGGTGAGGGGCCTCCCGGTGGAGCACGCCCTGGAAGCATGGCTTGCCCTCTCCACCCACTTGGGCCCTGGCGCTGCCCAAACCAGCCCTGGGCTGCTGCCCACCCTCTGGGAGGGGTACCCAAGACTGAGACGGGCTTTTCTATCCATGGGAAAGGAGAGCTTCGAGTCAGAAGTTTAGTTAAATTACAGGAGACTAAGGATACATTTTAGAGTAATGTAAATATCGAGTGTTGGACTGCAATGTTGCCTGCTCCGTACAAATGGGAAAGCTGAGACTCAGGGGGCAAAGAGTAACCCAGGGCCACCTTGTTAGCCTGGAGACAAGCAGAGCCAGGTGGGACCCAACTTTGAGCGCCTCTAAGCCCAGAACTAGAGGAAGGGAGAGGGGGAGGTGGAGATGCACTACTGAGTAACATCAGAAGCGCGTGGCTGCTTGTCCTTGCTGTGTGCACTGACAAAACCTGGCAGAGCACAAGAAACCGGTTGCCTCCTGGAAGAAAGTGGGTGATGGGAGACAGGCAGGGGAACCTCCTGTAACTTTTAGATTTTGAATCCAGAGAATGTCAAACAGAGAATTCCCTGTTTGACCCTCATAAAAGTGATGAAACAGATTCCTTCTGAGCACCCAGGGGTGCCAAACCCCTGTGGGTGCTGTGGCTTAGTCCATGTGAACAGGACGCTGTCTCTACCTACAAGGGCCACCCACCCCAGGCTCCCCAGCCTGGGCCTTGGGGAAGTAACCACAGGACTGCCACAGTTTCTCTCTGTTCTGAGTTATCCCGTCTCCCCCTCCTCCACAGCTGTGTGCCTCAGTTGCTGAGGGGAAGGGCCAGGTCAGGGCAGCCCAGTGGGCGTGGTGACCTCCATGCAGTCCGGACCCAAACTCCTTGGACCCACAGGCTCCTGCTGGCAGTCTCTGGCAGGGCGACGGGAGGGGGAGCCTCAGCTGCCTCCTTTCCGTGTTTCTGTGTGAAAGTATCACACACAGTTGTGTCCTTCCTTCTCTTGCCTCAGACTCGCTGCCGGTACGAGGAGCAGTTTCTGTGTGGGTCCAAGAAGCAGGGAGCCCCCAGATGGGGTTTCTACCTGGGTGGGAATTGTGAGCAGGCCCTGACTGCTGAAATGAGCCTGAGACCCACCCCTGCAGCGTCCCCCTCCACCCCTGCCACTAACCACGGCAGGCCAGCCCCAGGCCTCCACGCAGCCCGGCCTCAGCCTGACCATGCGGGAACACAGTGCCTGACATTCCACCACTTTTTTCATCATCCACCTCATGTCACCCTTGACACGAGTGTCCTCTGGAAAAATACTTCCCTTGGGGTGAAGCTACACCATGAATGTCCCTGAGACTCTAGGAGGGGGATCCCCTTTCAGAGGAGACATGTACTGTCAGGGTCTGACTGTATAAAGCCAGTGAATAGCAAAATGCTCCCCCAGCCAATGCTTGAAACAATCCTCTGGTTGCCCCAGGCATGCCCTGGCAGAGACGGGACAGGGTTATGGCCTCCCAAGCCCCAACAGGCCCACCAGACACAAACGTGGCTAAGGGCTGCTCACCTTGTGGCCAGAGAACAACAGAGCTGACATTTTAACCCGGTAGTTCAGACCCCAAAGCTCAGGTTTCTTCATACCACTGCTGGAAGAAAGCACAGAAGTCAGTGCAACACGTTTCTTACAAACCATGAATGAGGCCAGAGAGGGAGAGGGCCTTCTCTGAGGTCACGCAGCGTGTAAGAGGCAAAGCCCAGTCTCAGGATCCCAGCCCTCCTGCGTCTCCCACTCCAGAGGCTGTTTTGTCCTCTGAGAAGGGCAGGTTGGTTGAGGTGCCTGCAACTTTCGCCTTCTGGTGTCCCTGATTTGTCCCAACTCACTTCCTTTCTCAGTTGTGTCCCTAAACCAGTAGTTGTGACCTCAAATGTCTTCAAAGACAGGCAGGCAGGCAACTGAGCTGTTGGAACAGGAAATTTGTTGCTGCTTTGCAGTGGGAATGTGATGAGGGACACAGCAGTCATGGAGCAGGTCTGCAAGGCAAGACTCTGCTACTTGAGCCGAAGTTCTTGTGCCATTTATTGAAGCAGACAGGCTAGTAAAAGCTGATCATGTGACAATGGTATGAGGAGTAGGGTCTGGAGAGTGGGATAGGAATGGGGGACAAAGTTTTACGAGGGACAGGGAAGGGGACATCGTGACCATGCATCAAGAGACATTTGCGTCAGCAAAGTGTGATGCTGTCACAGGCAGGGTTATCCCAAGACCGCCATGGAGATAGTCACGTAATCAGGTCAACAGCGGCCTAGGCATCCCCATGATACTAGCTATACTCCATAGGTAGTCAAGGAATGTTCTGCTGTGATTTGTAGATAGCAAATAGGTCACAGTTGCCCATGAGTGACCAGCTAGAAGCCAGCTCATAGGAACCCACACTGAGCAAGACATGGTGGCCCCTTTTGCTCGCAGTTTCATCCTGCATGGATGAAGTTTCTTGTGATTAACCATGGTGGAAAACCGTCACTGACTATAAGCTATTTGGAGAGAGAGACCACATTCACATCTCTATTGCAGTGAATTGTTATCATAATCTTTTTTATTGTTAGTGATTGTTTTTACCCTCTTACTGTGCCTAGTTTATAAATTAAATTTTATCAGAGGAACAGAGAGTATGGAGATGGCATTATCTGTGGCCCCACACACCCGGGGGGGCTTGGCGCTCACCCACCTTGGGTCAGGGGAGCTACCCTACTCTAGACCCTTGACTCTCAGACAAGATAGTGTAGTGGGATAGTGTCTGTGTTGGACTGGGAAGAGCCTTCTCTGTCTAAAGTCTTCAAATTCAATTTATTTTTAAAGACAATACTTCAAGATATATTAATGGGGTCTGAGGGGTTGGGGACACGGATGGAACAAGACCGGCCATGAGCTGGTCAACATGGGGTTGACACTAATCTGCCTGAGTGTGTACATGTTTTAAATTTTCTTTGATCAAAAGAAAATTTTTATTTTTTTTAAATTAACATGCTATTAAAAAGCATATTGGGTGCTTCAAGACATATTAGCTTCACAGGCACCAATTAACAATGTCCAGACACTCCTGAACATTCCCCTGGCCATTTTTATCCTGCCCCACAAGTCTCTTCTGCACAGTTTAGGGTCTGGAAGGTGAGGGCGGGAGGGGGGAAGATGAGCTGGCTTGGTACGGGCTTGGAGTTGGTGGCCAATGGGCATCATCAATGCCCAAGAGTGTAGACTCTGGATGGATCCAGATGCAGGTCATAACCCCAGCCCATTGCCAGCTCCTCCCCCACCCCTGCCCATCCTTCCTGCCCTTCACTGCATCTTGCTCACGCGGTCTTGCACTCTGCTTACCACTTACCACACAAGGGAAATAAGCAAATCTAAGGGTAAGGTCTTGCTTTGCAGAAAGGGTCATCTTCCATTCAGGTGAAAAATACACGCATGCATGGCTGGGCACATCCAGGGCTGATATGGATTGAGAGCGCAGCTGTGCAGACTTCCAGCAAGACCCCTCCAGCAGGATGTGGAAGGCACATGTTTGGAGTTGCAAGAGAGTGGGGAAAAAAGATGTGGGTTTGATTTTTCCTTCTTTTCTTAGGCTCACTACCATGCACCATTGTGTCTCTTCTAGACCCAAGCGTCTTCCTAGTTTATAAAGTGCTCGCATGTTTATGTTATTTAGTCTTCCCAACTCCACGAGGGAGCTATTAGTCCCATTCTACAGATGAGAAAAATGAGGCCCCATGTGCTCTACGAATGTCACTGTTTTGAGACACATCCTGCTCCCATGCTGGGAAAGTAACACCATAGCAACATCCGGCATCCGAGATAAGGCGCTGTCAGGAAGAGGAATGAAATAGACAGGGCTGGACCCAGCCATCCAGCTCTGGCTGCACAGAGGTGGCTTTTTATGCCTTTCCTTCTGCTAATTTGGCTCCCTTTCCAAACAAGGGTCAAACAATCTTGCCCCAGAAGCAGCAGCAGCAGCAGAAGGAAATGTTATTAAAAACCGGCCCGTTAGTGGGCATGGCGTGTGGATGAAGTCTTTCTGAGTCTTGGCTGCCAAATAAAGACTTTATTGTTGTCATTCCTCCTTTCCCAAGCTCCCTCCCTCTCGTCTCTCCTCCCTCCCTCCTCCCCTCCCTTCCTCCAATCTGCCCCTCCCTCCCCCTAACCTAACCTCCCCACCCCAGTAGGAGCTGGTGGAAGAAAAGTCAGGCGAACACAAGCACCACGGGGCATCCGGACTCCAGCTGACTCTTGCTGCCGGCTCTGCTGAAGGGTGGGGGAGGAAGTGGAGGGAACCTTGCCGGGACTAAACCCAGAGCCCAGAGGAGAGGCAGGTGTGCAGAGGTAAGCAGTGGAGGTGGGCAGGACGAAGCTGCCTGCAGCGGCTCTCCTCCTGCCCTGTCCAGCCTGGGTCTTGATCTCCTCTTTCCTCCCTCCCCCCCTTTCTTCTTCCCTCTCAAAGGAGCGCAAATGCAGTCTTCCCCATTTCTTTCTACACCTCCTCTTCTCATTCTATACCCATGTGCTTGCTTCCCGCACAAAATAAGCTTTCCTGGGACAGATGTGGTGCAGATGTTCGTCGCAGCATGGAGAGTAGTACTGCACACTGTGTTCCTACAGATCAGGTGTTTCCATAGCAACCAGACTCTAGAACCCAGGTCTCATACCTTTCACACCTTGTTGTGACAAGGCACAGGCACACACGCACCACAGAGGCTGCCCCTCACACACACACATAAACACACACAGTGTGGAGACATCTGTTTCCTCCCCTCTGTGCTGCACTGACTGCACAGCTAGATCAGAGGGATGAGGCATCTGCGCGACTCTCACTCGCTCACATGCACACGCTGCGTCTTGTCTCTCACCTTTGCACACGCCTCCCCAGCTGTGAGAGCAAAGAGAAAGTGCGTCTCTCACTGAGATGGCAGAGCTGAAAGAGAGTCATGTGTCCTGAGTCGAGGCCGAGCAGGGTGGAGATGAGCGAGGCAGGGGTGGGAAGGATTTCTTCATTTTTTAGAACTTACTTGGGTAGGAGGGACACCCGTGAGGCTTGCCAGCCTGCAGAGTCTTCCCAGCAGCTGAATCTGTCTGTCTCACTGGTATAAACCACTTGACTTTGGAAAAAAAAGAAAGCAACCAGCTTCTGAACCTTAGAGGTCCCGACTCCCAGCTCTAGAGGAGTTCATTTATTTTTTCTGTGGGCAGGCAGTAAAAGATTTCTCTTCACAGCCCTTTGGAAATGACCCCAGGTTAGTGAGGGTCCTGTGGCAGAGGCAAAAGGACCATAGTTCCTTGGTCAGTGAGGGAGGGGACAACTGAAGTGGGTGATGAATGAGGCTCATTTCCAAACAGGGTGGACCCTCTCCATGCCCCCAACTCAGGGACAGTGATCCCTGAGGCATCAAAGAGTGGGCTAGATCAGGGTCCCCAAATATGACTGGACTTCAAAATCACCGGGGGTCAAGAGGAAGGGTTGGGGACTTATTAAAAATATAACTGTCTGAGCCTCTCACTCCAGACATACTGAATTGAAACCCAGGAACAGGTTGTGATGCACAGGGGAGTCTGATAGCCAGTCAGGACTTGGGGGTCTGGATCAGGGTGATGAGGGGGGCCCTTGCAGGGACTTAGGAAGCCAGGGCTCAGGCAAGTGTCAGGTGGGCAGAGAACAGCGTGACAGGACCACCTGATGGAGGGGCCCCAGAGTGTCCTGAAGAGGTCACCCTTTTGGGGGAGTGGGAGCAAACCCCTGAAGTAATGAGGTGGGCCTCCCTTCTTGCAGATACCAGCGCCATTTCAAAAGAAAGTTTCTGCAAGATAGCTCCAGAGAGCTTCTGTTTCCCCTCACCTGCTAATCTGCCTGCCCTGGGCCCTTCCATGTCCCTTCTAGATCCCTCTCCTCCTGCCCATCAGCTGTGTGTTCTCAGGGGCTCTCACAAGGTGGGCTAAACTGCAGGCTCTGCTCCCTCACCACCCTGCTGGACAGCCCTGTGGTTATGGAGGGGAAGTGAGTGAAAGCTGAATGGACAAAACAGTCAGGTGCAGGAGGGGAAGGGAAGCCCTGGGTCCTAGCAGGGCTCCACAGGGGGTGAGGCACTACCTTCCCCAGCCAGCACCCTTCACCTCTGCAGGGAGGCCTGGGGCAGTTACCGGGTGAGATTTCTCCAGGTGGCTGTGGCTTCAGTGGGTTCTTCAGCTAGTGGGTTCTGAGGCTCATATGTGATCTCACAGGCCCCATGGCGGGGCGGGGCTGCCTGTAATTGCTGAGGAAATCCTTGAGCCAGTAACTGCTGCCAGGATCGCTGTCTCCAGACAGACAGCAGGCTGCCCTCTGACCCAGCTGACGGCAAAGCCATCCCCTTTACTTTGAAGAGACAACACTTACCATCCACTGAGCATCGGCTCATTTAACCCTCAGAGCAACCTGATGAGGGGACGCTGGGAGCCTCTGTGATACGGGGAAGGCCCAGGAGAAGTGACGAGATCAGCCCTGGGGCACCTGCTAGCTGAAGACTTCCAGGGTTGCACCCAGGTCTCCAACCACCCAAAGCACCTTCTAGGCTTTTTCCAGGGAGGCAGTGCTCAGGGAGGGAGGCAGAGAGGACAGGATGGTGGGGACAGGCCGTCGGAGAAGAGCCACCTCCGCTTGTCCCTTCCCTCGGAATGGGAATCTTGCTCTTCTGGACTAGTGGCCCAAGGCCAAAAAAACTTCTTTCTGTTTACACTTTGCCTTGTGGTGGATGCTGGGGAGACAGATGGTCTCTCCATAATAGTGTTATGTTTATTTTTAGCACTTTTCGATCTGCAGAACATTTGAAAGTCTCTTGTTACACTTGCTTCTGACAACAACTGGGTGAGGGATATAGGGCCAGGGCAGATTTTGTTATTCCCATTTATAGATAAGGAGACTGAGGCTGAGAACCTTCGTCCCCTGACCAGAAAGCATCATGGTCCTCCCCCCACCCCGTGTCCTATCAGGCTTATACTTCTTCCCATCTTACCCTCGGGGAGAGGGTCAGTGTGCCAATGGGGATTGAATTCATCATGTCCCATGAACCCCTTCTGGCACCTCAGGACCATGCCACCCTGAAAGGGTCTCAGGTAGCCTGGGTAGCCCTGGCTCATCCTCAGCTAAGGAATGGGCTGAGACCACCAAATTCTCCTGACTTCTGGGCCCCTCTGAGCTACAGGGAGGTATGAAGGAGGCTGAAAGGTGCCTTGCGGCGTCTGAGTTAAGAACAGATAGAAGGGAACAAAGAGATGTCATCCTAATTCTACAGATGGGCTCTGAGCAGTGTATCTGGCTGTGTCCACTCTGGAGGCTCACAGGCAACCAACTGGATAGGAAATCTGGCAAGAAAGGAGAATGCCAGCGAGAATGCCAGGAAATCCTCTAACCTTGAGAGATAGGCCCGACCTCACTCCCAGCCCAGCCCCAACGCCACCCCAAGCACCCTCAAACTAGCTCCCAAAGCTTTGACAAACTCATGTGGGCCTCAACCCTGCCTACCCCTCACCTCATGTTGCCCCAGTGCTTGAACCTTCAATGAATAAACTCATTAGGTAAACAGGGCAGAGAGGGCTATTGGACTTTAAAAGAGAAGAATATCTTCAGAGAATCTGCTCTTTTACCAACAAGTGAAAAAATAAATCCCTGCTGTCATGGAGGTTTCATGCCCCGCAGCAGGCCCTCACAGGTGCCATGCTCCTTGCTCTTCATACAGATGAGGAGCCTGCGGCCTGGGGAGGAGGGTCAGGCAGGGATTCGAGCCAGATCAGCTCGAACTGAAATTTGAATTTAAAACCCTCTTAGGAGATGTTCTTGAATGAAGAGTAAATCTGGGATCTGGCAAAGCAATGGCTTTCCCCCACAAAGCAGCAGCTATTGGAGAGCTGATGGCAACAGAGCTGACCAGCTGGTGTTGCGGGTGGTCAGCAGCAACCCTGGCTGAAGGGAGAGCGGGAAGTTAGGAGGGGCTGTGCCTGCAAAGGCATGAGAAATTCCAGTCACACACACTTAAGACCCACTTGAAGGAAACCTACAATTGGACAGAAGGTTCTGGAAGGCAAAAGTGTGACTGTGGGCTTTATGAGGTAGGGAGGAGATTACAACTCCTTTTATTCTGAGGGCTCAGAGACCTCCAGTCCTTCACATAGTTTCTGGCCTCGGTTCCCTAGGATGTCACCACGCATCGCCAGAGCGGTGGCCACCCTCTCAATTCTTCCCTCAGAAGAGGAATTCCAGCAGGAAGAGGCATTTCCTCAGGAGGAAAACCTTAGAAATGAACACTGTTTCCTCAAGAGAGAAGCACGGACACATAGTGACTCAGCCGCTGGGCGAAGAGAAAGGGAGTTGACAGATCCAACTTCCCATGGAATAGGCCCAGGAGCTTCTCTGCAGGAAACTCCTATGGGTTCTGGGAGGAGCTGAGACAGCCCCTGGCCCTCAGGTTTGGGATATAAAAGGGTCAGAGGACTGGTGGGAAGCTAACCCAAGGGGCTGGAGCTGGAGGTGGGGTGGGGTGTGAGATAGGCCTATGTTCATGGTAAATGGAAGGAGCAGGGAGGACCTGTGTTCCTGTCACTCCTGACCATGGAGACCAGGGCTCCCCAGGCCCAAGAACACTCCACACCCCCTCAGCGAAGGCCAGCCCTGCCTGAGGCCCCATTCCCCAAGGAAACCCCAGGCAAACTTCACATACTTAACTGGGGAGCCAGGTAGATATTTCTGTCGACAAAAGCAGTGAAAGGAAAACCGGTGTTAGAAGCCTCCTTGGACAGAACGTCTCAGGACAGGAGATTTCCTGCTTATCTTTAGGTTTCTGAAGATAAGATCTGGGTGATCAGGAAAAAAATAAATACCAAGAGGAATGCCAATAAAAAAATTCAGGGTCATAAAAATTGGGCCTTCTAAAAATAGTTGTTGGCATCATGGTAATGCTTTAACCACCCCCCCCCTAATTTATATGCAATATGATTGTGCTAATTTCTAGAAGAATATGGGACTTATAAAGTATTAATTCATAAATCGCAAATCACAAGTGGTGTGGAATCTGACAGCAGGGCCCATGTTCAGTCTGACAATGAATGCTTTCTCTTTCTAGTTCTTTCTGTGTACCCTCAACAGGAGATAAAGCAAAGACCTCTGTGCTCGGAGCCCTCCTGGACCCCATGGAGAGGCCTGTGGGGTAGACATCTTAGAGGAGAGGAACAGCCAGAGGGGCTACAGGACTAGCTCGCCCCCTTCCTCCTGTCTGCCTTCTTCCCCCACCCCTCCTTCCCACACACTCACACGAAGGACATGTGAGCATGAGTTAGCTTGTGTGTTTGGTGTGAGAGGGTGTGGGGTGTGAGAGGTGTGGGCTGGTATCAAAGGTGGCGTGTGTGTGTGTGTGTGTGTGTGTGTGTGTGTGTGTGTGAAAGGTGTGGGGAGACGCCCTTCACCCTCTGGGATTGAACTCGCTCCTGTTTTGGGTCACATTCATGATCCTCCTGAGCATCTGGCTGATGACCAAGCAGATGGGGAGGGGCTTCTATTGTCTTCCTTTGAGCAAAGCCAGACTGGAGCTGGGCCTGGGTCAAGCAAGGCAGGAGCCCAGGCTGGTGCAGGCAAGGATGAAGGGGAGCGGGAGGTAAGGTCACCAGGGCCAAACCACTCTAGCAGACTTGATCTTAGAGAACCTCAAGAAGCATCCCTAGGGTGTCCCAGACCCCAGCAAGGAGGTCCAGTGGACACAATAGGGAACAGGGGCCCAGAGAGGAGAGTTGAGGGGGTATCACAGGACAATGATGGTCTTGGAGACAGGAAGGTACCAGAAACCCCTTGCTGAACCCATCTCGGCAGGCCAGGGAGGGAAGCTTTGTGCAGCTCCTACTTTCTGTTTAAGCCCTGGGACTATTACTATTCCCCTGGCTTAATTCAACCCAAACCCCAGGGTCCTATCCGAGGGGTTAGCAGAACCTATTCCACCACGTCACTGAGGCCAGCAGGAGTTCTTGGCAACCCACTGCGATACCATCGTCAGTGGACACAGGGAATAGGTGAAAAGAAATGAAAGTGTTTTCCCAACCATTCTCTGTCCCTTCCCAGTTTATTTTCCCAGGAGCCTCTCTATCTGGGGAGAAATTCTTGGTGTGTTTCCTGCTGGCAAAGACCAGTGTTCTCTGAGCTGAGCACAGGGGCCAGGAGAGGGGAGGCCTGGGGCTCCAGCACACAGCCCTGCTCTGGAAGGCAGCAGACCTGAGGTTTTGTCCTGGGTCAGCTAATAAATAGCTTCTTGGCCTTGGCAAGCCTCTTCTACCTTCTAGAACTCAATTTTTATAAAGCGTGGAATCTGAGCTTGACTGGTGGATTCCAAACCATTTTTAGCAATACAGCTTTTTTTTTTTTTTTTCAAATGCTTTTGCAACCCTGTAAAGCTAGGGGATGTCACAGTCCTTGTCTGTGCACTCACAACTATATGACTCCAACACAGAATGCAAAAAAACAACAGGGTTTATTTACAAGTGTGAAATTAGGGGAAAGGAAGGAGATTTGAAGGCCACAAATGGCCATCTGTCTGACCCCAGAGAGTGTCCAATAGTCTAAACCGCTAGTCTAAATTGGACTGCTAGTGTCCAATAGTCTAAAAAGCCGCTTGTGAATGATGGCATTTTCCTTCTGACAAGAGCCTGAGAGCCTGGAGCTGGTGGCACACCAGTAAGTGGTGGCAGGACCCAACTCACAGTGGCAGCTGGAGGTGATCACAGGTGGTACTGTAGAGGCAGCAGCCAGGAGCAGCAGTCCGAAGATCAGGTTGGGCAGTGCCAGAGGCAATAGCAACAGGAGACAGCTCTAGAGGTAGTAGAGGCACAGGCCAGTGCCACTGGTCAGTAGGCAGTATCGAGAATCAGGCTGAGGTGGACAGCTCTTAAAGGTGCCAGGCACAGGCCAACAGTCCAGTTAGCAGGTGATGTTGGGGCCCAGCTCTTAGAAGTGCCCTGCACAGATCAATGGCACCAGTCAGGAGGTGGTACCAGCAGATCTGAAATGAAGGTCTTCCAGGTGAGAGTCCCGAGAGTATCTGAATCTATCTGCTGCCCAAGCATTTTCTGGCTTTCGGGGTCCATGGGTTTCAAACCTGACTGGCACATTTTCAAAACTGATGAGAGCTTCAAAAACCCACCCCCACCCCCAACATGTGAAACCCAACCTGTGCTGAGGTTGCTGTCTTATGCAGTAGAGCCAGCTCACTCCACTGCACCCCCAAACTAGGAGCCATGGAGCTCCTCCTACACTTTAAACCTCAGTATATATAATATATATATATAACAGATTAAAAAAAAAAAACAGTTGCTCAGCTTGGCACAGGTTTAGGTTGGGGGTTCCCCAGAGCCACCCCCTCTATCCACTTCACTCAGGGGGCCTCCATAGAAATGGGAGCTCAGTTTGAAAGCCACCATGTTATGGGGTCTCTAAGGACCCTCCCAGACATAACCCCAGGACTCTGTAGAGCTCATGTATTCCAACATCCCTCTTATAAGGACAGGGTTGATGTTTTCATGCAGTGGATGGGGAGACTGAGGGACAGACAGTGAGCTTAGAGGTCTTGTTCAACAGGCCCTAGACTCCTAATCACTGCCCAACATTCTTTCTTCCAGACAGCTCCCCCTCTCCAGAGCAGCCCTCATTGTGGTAAACATTGAGTGGCCAGGCCTCTGGACAGGGGATCCAGACTCTCAAGCCCTTTTGACTTTCTCGCCTGCTGGCTATAAGCAAACAAGGAGACTTTTCCACAGTCCTATAGCCAGAGCCTGCCCCGGCCAACTCTGGCCACAAAGCCCTGCAGGCATCGATGTCTGGGGCCCAACAGGCTAATGAGCTCCCATGTTTCCTCCCTGCAGGTGCATTACTTGGATCATGAGGTCATCCCTCTGCTGGCTCCTCCCACTTCTCCTCATCTTGGCCTCAGGGGCCCAAGGCCAGTCAACGAGACGACCAAGACCCAGGCCCAGGCCAAAACCCAGACCCAGGCCCACACCCAGCTTTTCTCAGTCCCCGGAACCATCAGAGCCAACAGACCTGCCCCCTCCCCTCCCCCCGGGCCCACCATCTATCTTCCCTGACTGTCCCCGGGAATGCTACTGCCCCTACGACTTCCCGTCTGCCCTCTACTGTGACAGCCGCAACCTCCGAAAGGTCCCCGTCATCCCGTCCCGCATCCATTACCTCTATCTCCAGAACAACTTCATCTCCGAGCTCCCGGTGGAGTCCTTCAAGAATGCCTCAGGCCTGAGGTGGATCAACCTGGACAACAACCGAATTCGCAAGATAGACCAGAGGGTGCTGGAGAAGCTCCCCAGCCTGGTGTTCCTCTACATGGACAAGAACCAGCTGGAGGAGGTGCCCGCGGCCCTGCCCCGGAACCTGGAGCAGCTGAGGCTGAGCCAGAACCAGATCTCCCGGATCCCACCCGGCGTCTTCAGCAAGCTGGAGAATCTGCTGCTCCTCGATCTCCAAAATAACAAGCTGAGTGACGGCGTCTTCAAGCCCGACACCTTCCAGGGCCTCAAGAACCTCATGCAGCTCAATCTGGCCCACAACATCCTGAGAAAGATGCCCCCCAAGGTGCCCCCGGCCATCCACCAACTCTACCTGGACAGCAACAGGATCGAGACCATCCCTAACGGCTACTTCAAGGGCTTCCCCAACCTCGCCTTCATTCGGCTTAACTACAACAAGCTGTCGGACAGAGGGCTCCCCAAGAATTCCTTCAACCTCTCCAACCTGCTCGTGCTCCACCTGGCCCACAACAAGATCAGCAGCGTGCCCGCCATCAACAACCGGCTGGAGCACCTGTACCTCAACAACAACAGTATTGAGAGTGAGTGGGGCCAGGAGCTGCACGGGGTCCTTGGGTGGGTGGTTCCAAAGGGACCCCGTTTGGCATGGGACTTCAAATCTTGGCCTTACTACTTTGCTATCTGTGTGATCTTGGAAAGATCTGGCAAGATCTGGAAAGGTTCCTCCTCTGTAAGATGAGCATGGTAATAGTAGTACCCTCTGTCACAAAGCTGAGGTGGGGATTTAATAGTTTAATAATTTAATAATTTAATAGTATAATAGGGCAGAGGGCCCAGAGTTCCATGCTTGAAGGGGGCTAGGCTTTCCTCCTCATCCCCTCTCATCAACCTCAGTTTTTCTGCTTTCTGGAGAATACAGCCATGCTTGTTCTCCAAAAAGCTTAATAGTGACCTTTCCATGCCCGCTCCGGAATGCCCTGGTCATGTTGGTTGCTGAAACTGGTGCCATGAGAGGAAGCTTCTTCCCAAGTCCGAGCTCAGATTTTGAAGTGCTGTAGAAAGTACCCACTAAGAGGTGGCTGTCTGCTCAGACTTTTGCAACTGGTCAAAATGCAGAGGCCAGAAAGGAATGCTGTGGGCAGGCTGAGCGGCACAGGGTGCTTTCTGAATCTTCCTGGACTGCTGGAATATTTAGTCATATAAGACAGTACATCTGAGGCCGAATTTGCTTAAACCACATTTAGAGGGTTCTGGGTTTAGGATAGCAACTGCAGATCAGAGAAGGGGTCAAAAGTGTCACCTCAGAGCAGAATATCCAGCAGAAAGACGAAAAAAAAAAAAACAAAAGAGAAAATAGTATCTGGCCCTTGGACAAAAGCAGGCTGTACCCACACAAGGATGCAGCAGACCTGAAGGGAGAAAGGGCGCCCCTCACAAAACATTAGGAGCCTTTCACTTCCAAGCCAGAGTGAGGAGGAGACTGTTGAATTTCCACAACCTGGAAACCCATGAATGGGAAGACAGGTTGTGCACTCGCCTGGGGCGGGGGGGGGGGGGGGTGTGCGCACTTTCTTCTTAAAAATGGTGCAAGAAGCAAATTCAGGAAAAAGGAAAACTAATTTTACCCCTTGTGGGTAGTAAACTGGTCCAAATACAGACAGAAAGATACTCTGATTTACAAATAACTGCTCTCTACTGCGCTGAGGAAGCCCAGGCTGGTGGGGGATACTCAGCCTTCTGAGGCTGAAGACAGAGAAGTCACACCCGGGGCACACATGTCCACCCCCAGCCAGCCTGTCTCCTGTGTCACTGCCAGAATGGCTGGGTGGGCCCAGGGCTAGTGCCATGATTATTTTCCAGCAGCGGTCAGGAGGAGGCCATCTTTAGTGTCCTTTCCGGTTTGCAGCCGCCTCCACCAGTGTTCCTCGCTGATAGGAAGGACAAGCACCACTCTCACCTGTTCACAGATTTGGGAACTGAGCATCAGGTGGTGAGATGCCAGCCCAAAGGCACACAGGCCACAAGAAGGAAATCTGCCTGTTCAGGCTCTGCTGCTCCAGTGATGGAGAGAGGGAAGAGGAGGAGAGGAAAAGAGGAGAGAAGCAGGAGGAAGGGGAGAATAAAAAATTCATCTAGAAGGTGCTGCTTCCGATGTCTATCTGACGAGAAGCAAAGGAGAACACACAATCTCACTTGCTGGCTGAAAACCTCTCACAATTTGGCCAGAACTTACCTTTTCAGATCACTCTTCCTAGAATCAATAATCACATCAGAATCATTATTTGTCCGGGTCCCTGGGTCCCCGTGCCCTCCCAGGGCTCCTCTTCCTGTCACCCCATCTTCTGTCCGTCCTCAAGCCTCACACTCAGTTCACGGGGAAACCTCCACAGTAATCTCAGACCCACCTGCCGGCCTCATCTCCCCTCACCCCACGGTTCTTCACTCCGTGACCAGACTCATCGTAGGACCCTTCCAGGTTTAACCAGGGCTCTCAGGTCACCCACCCTGACGTCCCCGACCTGACGTGGGTCCTGCTCAGGGCTGCACCTCAAGCCGCAGGTCCAGGCCCCCATCCTCAGCGGAGCGCCTGAAACTGTTCTGTTTGTGACTCTCAGACTTGCCCTCAGCTCTTGGCCTCCATGAAGTGATTCCAACAGGCCCCTCTACCTGACACCACGCCCACCTGTGGTGGCCTCTAAAGCTCAGCTCAAAGCTTCCTTCCTTCATGATTCTCCAGGGTGAATTTCCAATAACAGGTGTGGATCGATTCCCAAATTTTGTTTCGTTTGTTTTTTACAAACGAGTAAACCAAGCCTGGAGGCTAGGGCCTCCACGCTCCACGTTCCCAGAGTCAGCCGGTCGGAGCAGAGAACTCCAGGGTCCCCTGCCTACCGCATCATTGCCTCCAGCCCTGCTCTGTGCTGAGGCCCTTCCCCCTTGGGCGGGCCCCTCCCCATGTCTCTTGCTGACTCTCTCCTTCTCTTTCCATAGAAATCAATGGGACGCAGATTTGCCCCAACGATGTCCTTGCCTTCCACGACTTCTCGTCGGATCTGGAGAACGTTCCCCACCTCCGCTACCTGCGGCTGGACGGGAACTACCTGAAGCCGCCCATCCCCCTGGACCTCATGATGTGCTTCCGCCTGCTGCAGTCCGTCGTCATCTAGGCTTCCTCTGCCCCGGGCCTTCTCTGACCACCCCTGAATGCCGGCGGCCAGTGCCCACCATTTGTTTCCTCTGTCTCCCTTTCTTTGCCTTTCCTCCCACCCCGCCCCCCTTCCATAGCCACTGCACCTGCAGCCTCTGGAGCAAATCCTCTAAGGCCTCGCCTTGGCCCCATCCAGCTCAAAGACAACAGTGCACACCCAAACTTCTACACCCCCACCCCCAGCACAGATATGTGTCTGAAGATGTCATATCCCCTTCTCTGTCCTCCTCCCACATCACTCCTGGGTAAGTCTGGGACTGGCATCTGGATTGGTCCTAGCCACAGCGAGCAGCGCCACCCAGAGGTGAGGTTTGGAAATTCCTGCTGGAGACTCCACTGTGGGTAGCTCTGGCCTAAAGAGACTGAGAAACCCAGGGCCTGGCCAAGGACCCTGTCTTCCAAAACAGCTTCCCCACCACCCTGTTCCCTGGCACCAGACATCAGTCACCAGACTCTCTGCTTTCCTCTGTTCTCCAGAAGGGAAGTGCAAGGGAATGGGCTGGGGTGAGGGTTGGGGAGAAGGTCGGGGTGCCCACAGGGCCTACATCTGGCCGTCTCTTCACAGGGATGAGCTGGAACTGCCACTTCCTCCTTCTCCAGGGAGCACAGCAAATGCACCTCTGGCTGGGCCTCTCTATTCCAAGAGACTGAGCAGGGAGGGACGGTCAAAGACCGGTTCAAGGAACTGGGAGTCAGCCAGCAGGAGAGGGGTGGGAGTCAGGGCTTGAGGACAAGCCCCCGTGGGTGCAGGGGGGGTCCTGCTGCTCCTGTGGCCATTCTGGGCAAGAGGCCTAAGACCCTGCGGAACACAGTGTACTGGACGGAGGGTACAGAGCGCTGTCCTGCCCCACCATCTGTTCTCTGTCAGTGTGGAGAGGCCCACCCTTTCCACCCCTTGAACAGACCCTGGGAAACCCACAAGAAAGGGAGGAGCATGTGGAAATCTCCCAGAAGCCTCTCCGGCATGTGCACATGGGCCTCTCCTAGGAGACAGACACATCAGTGACACCTGGTGGCCAGTACAGGTCACAGCGGACTCCTAGCTTCCTCCTCACCTCTGGGGTGGTTTCCCAAGGTCACAGAGCTGGTCTCAGGTTCCAGCTAAAAGGCCACAGCTTGCACATGGTCTCTCTCTCTTCTGGGGCTTAAAAGGCACTGAGACAGGGCTGATACCCATGATGAGTTAGCAGAAAGGGGGACCCTGGGGACCCCAGGTGAGGAGGATGCGGTTTGCTGTCTACCTTTGCAGGTCCCTTTCGCTCTCAACCCACGCATCTGTAAAACAAGGGGGTGATAAGGTGCTGCTCCCAGGAGCCTCCATGCTCATGTTCCCGTCTGTGGCCCCACTCTTCAGACCAGACTAGTCCAACGCAGTATCCCCTTCCCTTGCAGTAATTTATTCCCTCCCCCAAGATCCCCGCCTCCCTGCCTGGCCAGGGGGATGGCGTGGCAGACCTCCTAGTAGAGCCGGGACGCCATAGCTGACTATCCTTCCCCTTCCCCGTAACTCCCCGTAAGCCAGGATGAGAAAAGCTCAAGGGTGGGGGGTGTTTAAAAGTTAGATTAAGCTAGGTCCCTCACTCCAAGAAATTCCCATTATTCTTTCTCAACTTTCCCTTGTGCTGATGAGCAGAAAATGTTTCATCATGGCTGCCTTCCCGTCCCACACAACTGCCTCATTTTCCCGGGCTGCAGCTGCTTTCTCCAAGGCTCCTGCTTAAAGTCAGTATATTGCTGTGGCTGGAGCGACCTGGTGCTAGGGCCTGGGTGAGCCCCACTTCTTCGCCTTCTTCACACCTCCCAATCTCAGCCCTTCTGTTGAGGCCCTCAGGGGAGCCTGGCTCCTGTGGCCAACACCCCCCTCACCCCCATGCTCCCGCAAAGCTGAACTGTCCATGCAGCGGTGACATAATCACCATCACCCCATTGCTGCCTCGTCTCCTCAGTGGCACCCTGCAGCTGGGAGCCAAAGGGGACTTACAGCACCCACTGCCCCCATGTGCTGATTCCCCTTGGGGTCAAGGAAGCCACCTCCTCCACAACAAGTTTACTCCCTCGGCCCTGTGGGCACCTACACACAGGTGCATAGTAGCTGTGTACATGTTCCCTGTGCATATAGTCATTCTTTCTGCAAGGCCATGTTACTCTGTGAAAAGCTCTCACATTACAACACGCTTTGCAGCAGAGGAAATAAAGTAGTAAAAAAGCCTCCCGCTTGAACTTGGTGGTGTGAACAGGGCGAGAATGATGCCTTAAGTCATGCCGCCCCTCCCCCATCATTGCTCTGAGAAGATGGTGGAGAAATGACCCTTTTAAGAAATTCTAAGAACATGATTCCAAAACTTCTTGGCAAATTTCCCCAAAAATCACAGCCCTCATGAAAAATTATTCCCAAAGTCAGACCGGAGACCTGACATTTGAAGTCCGAAGCCCAGGCTCTTCGGAACCACAGGTCTCCCCCATACTCACAGATACCCACAGACAGGAAGCAGCACCATGCCTGTCCTGGAGAGTTGCAGACAGCTGGGGAGACGCACGGTAAGAAGGAGCAGTGGGGTGGGGCTGAATCAAGGGTGGAGAGCCTGGTGAAGAGGCCTCTATCTTGGGGGGGTACCCAGAAAGCAAAAAGGTTGGGAGACCTGGAGTCTGGAGTACGCTGTGGGGTGTTTCTGTGTCTGCGGAGGAGGGAGGGTGGGTTTCAGCGATGTGGCTACCCACCCTGGGCAGGGAATCTCCCCTTGCTGTCCAAACAGTGGGGGTTCCTGAAATCTCCTCCTCCGCCTTGCTCCTGGCTCCTGGAAAGGTCAGCTGGCCAGACTTCAGTCCACACCGCCTGCCTCCTCTGATCCTCAACATGTCTTGTGCTTCTCCTAATGAGGTTCGGATTCAAAGGGCTCCAGGCACTACCTGTCCCCTTTCCAGGCTCTGTGGGGGCTGAGATGCCAGGAACAATAGCTTAATGGTTGGCAACTTCCCCTCAGGCCATGCAGACAGTTCCCATGAACCACCCCCTCTAAATCCAGGGGCCCTGGAGTGATAGGCGAGCTGGTGAAAGCAAGAGTGGATGTTGGAAGAGGGTCTGGGACCTCCAGCTATTGTCAGAGGCCAGTGAGAGTGCAGCCAGGCAGGGGGAGGCTGGACAGTGCTGGTGAGCAAGTGGGGGGAGGACCAGTTGCAGGGCAGGGGCGAGGAGCTTGGAGAAAAGTGCTGTCGTGTGTTTGTCACCAAGAAAATGGGGTGGGAGAGTGTGGGGGCACAGTGAGTAAATCATGAAACAGTCCCTTTGGCATTTCTTATAGGAAATAAATGGGGAAGAGAAGGGTCTAGTAAGAGGGGAAGCCCTGCCCAGACTGACTGCAGGGGGTAGAGGACAGATCGCCAAGTGTGCCACCTGCTTCCTGGGCACCCTCCCAGCTCTGCGGCTCTCTCTCCCTCCACCCAGCAGAGCGCCTGTCCATGTCATGTGCCAGGGCCACAGGCATATGGCCTGCCCTGTTGCCCAGTTCTCACCTGGGGAAGCCCCTCCCACCAACTGTGCCCAGAAACCAGCCCTGCCCCTGGGTCTTGTGTTCCAGGTCGGGCTGAGTCCTGCCAAGGCCATCTGTTCTCAGGGCACGGGGCACATGGTCTCAGAACTGCCAGGAAGAGGAGAAGAGGGTGGGTGAGGATGACGGGGAAATCGTTGAGAGTCAGGATATCTAGGCCTGCCGGGAGCAAGTCACCTCCCCTCTTTGGGTCTCAGTTTCCCCATCTATACAATAAGGGGTCTGGACTAGATGGTCCTTAGGACACCTCGTAGCTGGGATTCAGTACGTGGTGAGCATGAGGGAGCAGGGACCTGATACCTGCGGGAGGACGTGGGCCACAGGCATGCGGGCAGAGACTGGGGACTGCATCCACACCCCTTACCCCATCTTCAGTAAAGACTTGCTGGCCCAGAGGATGAAGCCCTAAGGAAAGGAGAGTCTTCCTTCATCAATACATCTTTGGGGGTGTCCTCTTAGCTCCCTGAGGACCACACAGCGCTTTCTGGTGTCTAAGGTCAGAAAGTCCTTGTTTGGCCCAGTCAAGCAGATTAGAGGCTTCCCGCACCTGCCCCTCCTCATCAGAGGACTTGAAGTAGTAGACGTGACCTTTTAGAGGGTGGGCCTGGAAAAGAGAGAAATGGCAGACCAGAGGAGAGGGGATGCCGGGCTTGAGGGGGTAGGGGAGGTGGTAGGGGAGAAGGAATATGCTCAAACCAAGCAAAGGAATGGGAGCTGGTGAAGAGAGAGGCAGGGGGTCCCCCTTGGGCAGAGGGGGACACTGGTTGTCACCAGCTTGCTTAGGGGCGCCAACCTCCTGCCCCAGTGCACTCACCTCAGAGTTCAGGCCTCTCTGGGGCCTGTGAGGCTCCCAGAGAACTTACAGGTAAGGGCCCAGGACTACTGATACGCGAATGGGGGAAGTGTGTGGGCCTGGGGTTGGGGCTGGACTGGGAGAATGAAGAAGAGTTTAGGGCTCTGGGCCTGGGAGGTTGGAGCAAGCTTGGGGGTTTGGGGAAGGACAGTGAATTCTATTTTTTCAGATTCAGGGGGCATCATTTTGTTTGGAGTGAGGTCTGAGTAGTAAGATGAAGCGTACTTCTCGCTACTGCTGAGGGCTTGCCCAGCTAAAATTAGGAAAAGGGGAGAAACTGCTAGAAACTTGTACCCCTTGATGGGGAGGGCTGCATTGTCAGCAATGCATGGGGTACCTGGCACCCACACCACGCTCACCCCTTGCCCCACCTGTGGGTGAAACTCACATGCCGTCCACGCCGATAGACACATCACAGATGTAATCACCACCTGTGCACGACGGAGACGCACACAGGTATGGAAGGAGCTTTCCAGAGTGAACACACGCCCACGACCACACACAAAGAACTCTCTCCTGCAATCATTTGTTCCTAAAAAGCTGCCTTTGATAAGTATGTTTTATAAACAACATTCTTTCACATTCTGTTGTCAGGGAGGAGAGGAAATGTCCCCTTACCTCTCTGGGTCCTTTCTTGGGCTGGTGGGATCATCCAATGGGCATCAGAGAGATTAGCAGGTGGCAACAGCAAATGTACTTTCATACATACAGTGGCCCACGCAGACATGCAGGGTCCAAGGAAGGACAAGTCAAATGAGATCTATACCCTGAGCTAAGGAAGGGGATAGGGGCCTGGGGCTAGGAGGGTAGAGGGGAGCTCATGACAAAAAGAGGGTGATTCCCAAGACCAAGAGCAGATGGTCTATAATTAGATGTTTTAGTCTGGTAATAACCTGAAATCTGGGTAAGACCCCAAAGCACTTTCTTCTAGGTAGTTAAGAGAATAGTTAGTTTCTCTTGCTCCCACAGGGCTTTGGCTAAGCTTGGCTCAAAATAATCCTCAGGCCAAAGTGACACATCTGGAGGAGGGCTGTCCCCTAAGTGGGTTAGATGGTCCTAGAAGGAAGTGTGCATTCGGTACCCTTAGAGACGGGTCCAGGGCCTGAACATAGTAGACACCCCATAAATGCATGAATGAACAATTACAGGACTTCCTGATGTTGAATTTCTCTAACTCTAGTGTGACCAACGGCCGTCTGCTGGGTAGCCGAGGCAGAGAGAGCATCTGTGTGCAGGTGCCTGGTCAGTGCAGAGATGGGCATGAACACGTCTGTGCTGAGGGGACAGAATCAGCCTGTGCCTGGGGTCTGAGGGACTAGCAGTGTGTGGGGTGGGCCTGCAAAGGCTGCAGTGGCGTACTGTGAGAGCGGGCTGGCAGGAAACCCCCCTAAACTTTGCCCCTGCCAGGATGCTGACACCTGTGATGAAGGCTCTAGGAAGGGGATGTTGGGGTGGAAGTGGATGGAGCTGTGAGCCCACTCCACACAGCTGAGAGGCCCGATGGCTGCCCTTTCTCACACCCACTTCCCAGGACGGGAGGGCTGAGGTGACTTAGCCCCAGCTCATCCACCCCATCACCCATCCACCAGGTTTCCCATGATGATCCCGGTTGTCCTGGGCCTGCCGGCCCTGGTGCTGTGGGAAGCAAGGACAGCTTCTCTCCCAAAGATGGAGATGAGAGAGAAGAGCAGACATTTGGGGAAGGCAATTCGGACACAATTCTGCATCTCCTAAGCCTGAAGGGCTACGAAGTGGCCACTGACCTCGGCAACTACGAAGTTACTCACTTCAGTAACTACGAGGACCTCACAGACTACGGGGACCCACTTCCTGAGGTGAGGGGTACAGCACCGACCGAGTTCATTCCCTACAAGGAAATGGAGTCAGGAGCTGGTGTCTGACCCTCCACCGCTTTCTCTAGGAGGAGGACAAGGTTGCTTCCATAGGAACCTGTTGCTTAGATGGCAGTAAGAGCAGGACAAGGAAATGTCAGTGGTTCATTTGTGGCAACTTGGTGGGTCTTCCCTTAGATGTCAGACACCCCTCCCCTGCCTCAGGTAAGGCCATGAGGCAAATCTCCCAGGGAGTGTGTGTGTGTGTGGAGGGGGGGGTCAGCATATACTCATGTTCTCCCTGGATAAAAAATGCCACATGGTCTCGTTCCATACACTCCCTCTGTCCAAAGTTGTCACTCAGTCCTCTCTGGCCTAACATCTCCAGGGCTCAACTCCTTGCTGAGCTCCTTCCAGATGGGGTGCCCTGCCCCCACCCCCCCGGGAGCCACTTGCTGGCTTCCTCTCCACACAGGGCCAGACCACACGCCCAGACAAGGGCCCCGCTTGCTTGCCAACCTTCTGCTCTTGTCCCTCCTTCTCCAGTGACTCTGCAGCTTTGAGGTGAGGTCCACTCAGGCAAAAGCTGGCCTACTGTGTGCTGTGTGCTTTGTCTATAGGTAAATATGACCAGCCTGGCTCTTCTAGTAGGGTCCGCTCCACCCTGAGGTCAATGGCCCCACCCACATGCTCGTCGAACCCCTGCAATGATCAGGCCTGTTACTCTGGGCTCCCCCACCCACCAGGGTATGGTTATTGCTACAGGTCACCATTGCCTTAGATCAGAGGCCGTGCAGCCTTGGTGGACACGAGGAGTGGAGGGTGGAGCATGCTCAGGCTAGCAAGTGGAGGTCAGATGACCCCTTAGCAGCAGCGGGAGGAGGACAAACAGCCAGAGTAAGAACAGAAAAGAAAACAATCAGAGGGAGAGTTTGGCTGTCCCCTATGCTTTTGCCTGGGTGCACAAATTGGA